TAACTAAACATCCATCTCTTTCCGTAAAATTACCCAAATAAAGAATCATAAAACTCTTGGGGAAATCCTATCCGATTATCTTTTGTACTACTTTATGAACCATTCCCCAAAACGTTGTTATTTTGTGACATTTCCAAAATACATGTGAATGATCTGCTTCTGCTGTTCCACATTCCCTCCAGCATGGGGACTTTACATTTGAGTATATGTTTTTAACCTTGGGTGTTGTAAAAAAACGGATCAGATTTTTCCAAGAGAACTCCCTCCATATCCGGGTGGATGATCGGTGTATTCTCCACATGTTTTGCCATTCATTATTTTCAATTTTCGTGTTGACTTCTGATTCGCATTTTTCTTTTATATACGTGGTTGAATATTTGTTCATGGTTAGTGCTTAATATTATAGTACAGTTAAGTTTTCATTTTTGTTCCTACATATGAATTGATTATAGTCTGAATCACTTCATTCACGTCCTTGGTGGGTGTTCCCCTGATGTGTCCTCTATAATAATCCCTTAGTTGTAGATATCTAAAGAAGTCATGTTTCCCTAAATCTTATTTATCTTTCATATCCTGAAAACTCTCTAGTTTCCCTTTCTTCTCCAAAGTGCACCATGCTGTGATTACCTTGGTCACCCACCGTTTGAAACCTTCATCTTATCTTGCTGGTACAAAGTTACTGTCAAATGCTACCCATTTCAGTATATGTATGTCTTCTTGTATTTTGTGAATGTATTACTATTTTAAACCATACCTCCAGTGTGAATAATGTAATTGAATCCATATGATTTTTTATTTTTTTGTATGTGTCCTTATCTCCTATAATAGGGTATTCTCCAAATGCTCTTTCCATTTCTTTCCACTTAGCTGTATAATCTGGCAGCATAGAAGTATTCTTTCAGATTCGGGAGGCCTTAGTGTTTTCTTTTAACGATACCGACACTAGCATGGCATATCAGTGGCAGCGTTCATGTCAGTGGCAAACTCTTCTATACACTCTGTTTCTCCTGTGTTGTTAATGTTCTCTGTAGACTATCGTCTCCAAATGACTTTGTTTGAATCTTCCTGTTGTGTCTGGTGGGCGGGGTTACTTTATCTAACGCACTCTATAGGCTAACGTTAGGCATCAATCACAGTAGACTTTAGTAAATGACCGTGATATGTTTGTTTCCTGTCTGGAATCCAATTGGACTATAACAAACTCTAAACAAATAAAATGCAGTTAGACAATGTTAAAGTTTATAATTGGATTGACTTGAAGTACAATCTGTAGCCTCACTTGTTTATGCAGTCATTAGGAATGTCATTTAAACACTAGTATTTAGGTGAAGCACCTTATTGGCTGAACAGCCAATCCAGAGCCTTGGGTATGTCAGGTGGAGCTGTTCCCATAGCCTGCCTGTACCTGTGACCCCCCTGCTATCACTGCTCATTCTGCTGTCACACGCTGGTCAGTGAAAGCAGCGTTGGAGAAAGCTAGAATTGTTGCAACAATACCGTTTTTTAATACTGTTCCATCTAGTAAAAGACTAAGCCTTGCATAGTAAATAGATATTATAAGAATCAAAATACACAAGTACAAAAGTATTTTTTATGCAAAATGATATATTTAAGAATATTTTAACACCATATTGGATCATAATTATTGATGCAATAATGTGTTCATCAATTTATGGATAAGGTGAAACTAAGAAACCAACTAAACTTGTTTGTATGCGTTATATACTACTGCATAGTTCAATCATAATTATACATCAGAATGTGTTTGTTTATGATCTTTTAATAATCTGAATCTGCAAAGTTACTAAAGTTATTATTACAACTATAAAGTAAATAGGCATTAGAATGGAAATATTAAAATAAAGTAGCACTAACTTGCATTTAAACAGTAATGTATTCTTCCAACCTTTTGTATAATCTTAATCTTTAACTGCTAACACTTTCTAAGAAATATACAGTACTAAAGTACAATATTTCCCTCAGCTGTAGTGGAGTTAAAATATAACATACCATAAAATATTCACCAGTACCACAAAAAAGTATTCATTTACAGTTCTTGAGAATAGCTACTTAGTTAAATTCCACTGTACATATCTGACTGTAAAAGTGTCTGTGTTTCCCCTGCTTTAGATGTCACTCGGTCACTCGTTATACTCAGTGTTCAAGACTGTGACTTACTGTCTGTAAAGTGTCCTCAGACCCTGGACAGCTGTTGAAGGGCTCCGGATTACACAACGCTGGTTGATAAATGACACAAGCTGCTCAGAGTTCATCCATTTCTCAACCCAAAATACCAGAAGGAGATAGAAAAAGTACATTATGTCAGAAGGAAACCTTACGTGACAGGAAGTAACATCACAATAAACCAGGAAAATTCATGTACTTTTAAATCATTATTTTCTCAGGTGGAATATGGAATGTAGATGTAGTACTACTTTGTAAAAAAGTCTCACTAAAGTACAAAATGACCTAAAGTAAAAATATTCTGCAGAGTGGATTACCATATGATATCAATGTGTAATAGTTATTGATTATATAATGTGTTAACCTTTAATGTTGAAGCTGGTAAAGGTTAAGCTAATTAGAATCACTTTATATACAGTACAGCTGGATATTAATCTATAATGTTATATCATGCTGTATTGAGAGTCCCTCAACATGCTACTGAGGCACAATGATTGAGTAAATGTTCTTGGTTTGGTGGGAAGGTGGTAATGCACTGCTTTATATTTTTTTACTGTAAATTTGTATTTCCACATGTATCTTTTTTTACTTTTAATGCTATTATGTTTCTGTTTTAATTTCTCTTATGTACATTGCCTTGTCTTTTTAGGTTGCTGCAACGCAAACATTGTCTGTGTGTCTGTCTGTCTGTCTGTCTGTCTGTCTACATTTGTACTGCTGGTTATGGAAACTGTGGTCAGTCTTTATCAATGACTCCATTCATATGACTGTAACCACAGAGGACTGCTTACAGTAAACAGCACCAACGCTTCTCCTTTTCATTTCCTGACAACACACACATCCAACCAACTTCTCCTCAATCACACCCAGGATTCACACTAGAGCAGGAAGTCAGGTTTTAACCCTTGATGACCACGTGACATGTCAATGATGACATGTCACATGCTTACTGCCACAGTTTAGTCCCTATGGATCTTACACGAATGATTCACAATGTTTCCTGTTAATGACTTTCTGAAACATCCTGGTTCTATGAAAAGCTCTTACAGCCTGACAGGAGGTCTTTAATGTTTACAGAAGCTCCAGCAGAAGTTTCTTGGAAATATATGTATATCACACCAAAAGAAGCACGAGGCCACACTCATTAACATGCATGGCTGACATGTTACTAAGCACATTTTCTCATCAGTTCAGTACAATTGAATGTTCTTGTTCTGCATGGTTTCATTTGATCCTCATCGCCAACAGCTTATAGTTGCCTTGCTTTCCCCAGCCACAACACCCAGCTCTAACTGGGGGATTCCAAGGGGCTCAAGGCCAGCTTGGATCCCTGATCCCTCCACCTGGTCCAGGGTCTGCCCCTCGGTCTCCTCCCAGCGATGACACCATCAGAGCCACATCATCTGCAAAAAGCAGATGAGCATCCTAATGTTCAAACATGGTGTTTGTTACGGCCGATCCATGACCAAGTCCAGAAAGAAAGGAGAGTCGCCATCAGGTGCCCCATTCAGGACTCTGTTCAGGGTCTCAAGGGGGGCCAGATACTCCAAACTGCTGTTAGGTTCATAGGCAGAGACAACAGTTCGAGTTTGCCCACCCCCCATAACCCGCAGGCGTAGGGAGGCAACCTTCTAACCCACTGGGGGGAACTGCAGCAGAGCATCCCTCAGCTGGAGGGGGGAAGTCCAGCGGATCAGAGAAATCCTTGGTTGAGAAAAAGAGTGAAACTTTTTTTAAGGCATGGTTTATCATGCACTGTTCAGCTTTTGTGAGTTTGGGCTATTTTACTTCCATCTTCTCTAACGAAAAGAAAACACGCAACATTGAACTTTTATTAACTACACTTTGGCTATTTGCCTCTTTAGATTTCTTCTAAATGTAGTAATCCTTAGCGTTAGATCATTCCTCATTTACATATTTAAACATAAACTGAAAACATCTAATAGAAAAATGCTTCGTCTCAATGGAAGTAATCGACTGGGGAAGTTTCATGGAGATATCGTTTAGTTAAAATGTTCACCCCATTCACAAACAATATATTTTAAAGCATGGTTTCAATTAGATTATTGCTGTTTTTCAATTAAAAAAATGTCATCAATACCAACAAAATTATATTATACCAGTGATACCAATAAACAATCCACTTAATCAGGCCGAGATGTTAACATTTATTCAGCATATCATTATGTGCAATAATACAATGTACAAATGATCTTTCTGTAGATATTAAAATCCATATCATATTTAAAATGTGTTGTCACAACATGAAACACAGAATACATTCAGGGTCTGAGAAGGCATCACAGAGGGTCAGAGGTGAGGGTCTCACCAGGAAACCACTGACTCCATCATCTGAGAGAAACCAGTAAGAGCACCTGTGCGTCTGCACCCTGCCACCAGGGCCAAACATGTATCTCAGATCATTTTTACTGTGCATTCAGATAATAATTCAAATATTCTTTGACTTCACTCAGCACAGAATGAACACTGTAGAAACACTAATAGAAATCATTTGATATCTGAGCAGCACTGCTGGAATATTACTCAGTATATTTACTCCACTATTTTACTTCTTTACAACATTTGAAGAACATGTTTTTTTCAACTTTGTACTCATTTCTACTCCACTACACCTCAGAGGTAAATATTGTACAGTTTTAGATACTTTCAGATTACACTCTTCAACCCCTTCCTGTCCATGAGAACCACATCTCTCTACATGTGTTGATGTTGAATGTTTTTGAAAAACTGAAAGAGGAAATTTCCCTTTATACCATTGGGAAATTGTCCCTTCTTAATCTGAATACATTTTCAAAAGGCTTTTAGAAGCGGCCAAATGCATACAGCGCTGGAAACAGGGCTGTTCATCTGAGGAACTTGTGGAAAGTGGCCTGTTTAGAGATATGTGGTTCTCACAGAGCATAAGAATACAAATATGTGAGCATGTTTAAGAATATGATGCATTACATACATACTTTTACTTAAGTAAGATTTGAAATGCGTTGGCTTTTACTTGAAGTGGAGTATGGTATGAAAACTTTATCCGAAGTAAAGGATCTGAGTAATTCTTCCACCACTGCTGCACATTACACTGGCTTTAAATCACCAAGAGAGACGATTCTATAAAAACAGCAAGATCGGCCCCGTCACTGAGGGGAAGGATGGGCGACGTCTCCAGAGTAAAACTGAAAGCACACACGCACACACGCACACACACACAGCCATATGAAAATCTCAAATTCAGAGTGATTATTTTTATATTAAAAGTGAAGGATTCTTATTTAAAATATTGTTTAAAAACACAATACATTTTCCTCACACCTGAAAGCAAGGCATTCAGGATATAAAGGTTAGACAGCTCTTCTGCCATTTACATTCCTACACCACATTATACAAGCAACCTTTCAGTCCTCCGCAGATCTTTGTGACCCAACAGGCAGCCAATAAGAGCTTACGAGTTTCATCTAAACTAGCTTGTGATTGGACAGAGTGTCCTGATGCTGGTAAAGTGCAGCAGTCTGCGGTCAGTCAGTTTTCATCTGCAGGATGAACCCTGCAGCTGTCAATCAAATGCTTCAGAACCCCTGAAGCCCCCCGTCTGTCCCTCAGGGGTCCTTGTCCTCCACATGTAGCCCCCCCTCACTCCTGGCTCTGCCACGGGACGACTGCACCTCCTCGTACGGGGGTGGGGGGTTGTCGGGGCTGGAAAGAAGCGGGCAATGACCGCCGTCTGATTGGCTGACGAGGGACAACGGGTGACTGCTGGGAGCCTCCTGAGCCAATAGGAGCTGGGTGGGTCCTGGCACTGAGCAGGGGGGGAGACGCTGCCCCCAGCTGCCGTACATCGCCTCCTCGTAGGAGGGGAGGGAGACAGGAAGTCCGTCCACCATCAGGTCCAGCTGGTCCGAGGAGCGCCTGCTGCGGGACAGAGACAAACACTGACTCAGAGACAGGCACCAGACTGGGCTTCACTTTGTTTCCTAAAGTGAATTTTGCGTTTGCAAAAAATGGAAACCTTGACACTATTTTAATGGAATACATGGTCCTGTAAACATTGTGTAAAGGTGTCATCTGGTAATCTTAACGTGATTTGTAATCTCCTGCCATTAAAGCCTGAGAGGACTGCTCTATATTTCTGAGTACTCTTCCATCTCTTAGGTTGTAGAAAGTTCCCTTTGAAGATAGATGTTACTTGTATAAAGAGTATATTTTGTTCATCAAGAAAAGAGCCGAAAGAGACAAAGATCCTCTGAGCAACAGTTCAATAAGAATAGAAGAAATGTGCTTCCTGTTTCCAATAATGCCTCTTAAGAGGCTTTAACTGTCTAGCAAAGCTATTCTTCTTCTCAGCAGAAACAGAAGCTTAGTGGACTGATGAATCACAGTGTAACCACTGATTACACTGCAGTGACTTTCAAACAGGTCAGGTGTGTCAGCACACTGGTGGATTTTGTAATCATGTTTCCTTAAAACACGTGAATACAAAAGAAGAACATCCCTTCTGTTATTCAGAGTAGAGGTTCTCTAACAGGGGGAAATCACTACAGGAAATGATCCTCCTCTCACCTGTGTGATTGACAGGGGTAGAGGCGGGACTTGACCACCAAGCATGCAGTGGTGGTGAGCAGGAAGATGGACACGCCCACCGCCGTGGTGGCCATGCTGGGCATCGAGTCGTTCCCCCGGTCATCAGAGTTAATCTTCGGACCCTCTGAATACGAGACACAGGATCAGAAACAACGACCACAGACACAGACCCTCAGACACTGACACACCCTCAGACAGACCCTCAGACACAGACAGACCTTCAGACAGACCCTCAGACAGACCCTCAGACACTGACAGACACTGACAGACGCTGACAGACCCTCAGACACTGACAGACCCAGACAGACCCTCAGACAGAATGTAACGACGAGACGCTGTTACTAGAGCTCACGTGGACATGTGGATATAATCATTGTTTTAAGAGGTATATTGACGACAACTTCCCCTTTCCCCATGTCTGTTGCTGATTGTGTGCACCTGGTGCCCTGTGTTGTCTCCTCCCCCCTCACCTGTGTCTAATTGCTCCCCCCTCACCTGTGTCTTGTTAGTCTGTGTGTGTATTTAGGTGCTGTGTCTTGTGAGGCTGGTAGTGTGTGTGAGATCTTTGTGGCTGCAGGATGTGTTCAAGGAGAACAGCAGAATTGAGGCTGTGAACTATGTGCACATGATTTTAATAAATGCCCACGTCGGGTTATATTTTTGGACGTTCTGCCTCTGCCTCCTTGCTTGGTCGGGCCGCTCAACGGTCAGTCTCACAATTGGTGTCAGAAGTGGGATCCGACCAAGTGAGGAGGTAAAATTGACGAGAGGAAAGAAGAGGGACCAAAGAGAGAC